TGGGGGGGGGGGGGTTCGTTAAGGATGTTAAATAGCCAGTGACTAATCGACTAGTTGCTGCATTTCCTATCGACTATTCGATAGGGCAAAAGCACCACATGGAGCCCAGGACTCCAGCTGACCCCGGGCTCCCTGCAGCGCTGCCGCTTTGAAACACCGCATGCAGCCTGACACCGGGCTCCCCGCGGCGCTTCAAAGGAGCAGCGCTACATGGAGCCGGCCTCCCAGCAATGCTTATCCAATAGTTGACTAGTCTGTCACATCCCTAACATTTGTTTTGCTTCATTCTTCACTCAGACCAGATTGTTAGTTTCAGGGTAAATGCACCTGGCTGCTCCCTCAAAGCACCCACTTAAGTTTCTGGTTCTGAGACATCACTTCCCTTGAGTGGAGATGCATCTAATTCCGTCTTGACCAGCACTTTAAGGCTGCACTGCTCCCCTGCAGACAAGTCTGCCTGTCTAGTTGTCCGTCTTGGAGAGCAAGACCTTGTGAACTTGAGACCTGGTCCTCCCTCTCCCATCTGGGCTTTAGGAAGTAGGTGTGGTGTCCTTTATCCCTCCAGGTATCAGCTCAAGGAAGGGGTTGAAGTTCCTCATACCCACAGTTCTTTAGACAAGAGAGAAATAAAGCAAGAGCAGCTCTCAACCAGGCATTGCTGCATCAGCACAAGCAGCGGGCAAAATTGATTCTTAAACAGCCCCTGTAGGCGAATTCCTTTGGGCCATCTCCACAGCAGTTGGGGTGCAGGAATTCTGGTGGTTTTACCTAAAATTCAACGGGAAGAGCACTGAACCCCCACCACCACAGGGTAGCCCTTTTATCTCTGTATATTAAGTCAATGCGTGCAGTGTTTTTTTTCTCCACCAGGCTCAGGGTCCTTTACATTTTCCCAGTGCATCAAGCAGTCCTTGGCTATGGGAAAAATTTCCCCTACTTTCCTGGCTGTAGTTACTGTTGTCCTCTCCGACACGTGGGCATTTTCCACTGTTGGGTGAGTGGCAGCTTGAGCAAGCGCACTGCAGGTCACTCAGCAGCCCTACTTTTGACTGGACTCTGTACCAGGCATGTAAAATCTAGATTAAGTGGTTAAACGTAGTGCTTACACTTGCATAAGGAAATGGAGAATGTGCTTATAAAATTCATAGGCAATACCAAGCTGGGAAAGGCTGCAAGCACATTGGAGGACAGGCTTAGAATTCAAAATGACCATGACAAATTGGAGTTGGAAATCAGTAAGATAGAATTCAATCAAGTGCAGAGTGTTACACTTAGGAAGGAGAATTCAAATGCACCAATACAAAAAGGGGAATATCTGGCTAGGTGGTAGTACTGCAGAAGAGGATCTGGAGATGGTAGCGGATCATAAACTGAACAAGAGCCACCCAGGTGATGCCGTGGCAAAAACCGCTAATCTCATTTTGGAGCGTAGTAGCAGGAGTGTTGTAAGACATTGGAGGTTGCTCTGCTCAGTTGAAATAGTGTGTCCCGTTCTGTGCACCATACTTGAATTGGAGGTTATCCAAAGGAAAGCAACAGAATGTCTAAACCTTTAATCAGTCTGATCTATGAGGAAATGCTAACAAAGAGCTGGGCATTGTTTAGTCTTGGAAAACCGACAGTAGAAACACCAGAAATCAAATATAAAAGGGCTGATATAAAGAGGATGATGATCAATTGTTCTCCATGTCCTCTGAAGGTAGGATAAGACATAACTGGCTTAATCTGCATCAAGGAAGTTTTTGGTTGGCTATTAGGAAAAACTCTCCAACAACAAGGATGGTTAAGTATTGGTATTGGTTTTTAAGAAAAGGCTGGACAAACGCGCGTCAGGATGGTCTAGGTATACTTGGTCCTGCAGGGGAAAGGAGCTGGGCTGAACTAAATGAGCCCTTGAAATGCCTTCTAGCCCTACATTTCTAGGATTCTGTGAGGCCTGTTCAAAGGCTGGGGGCAGATTATCCTTTATCTGCTACTGTGGAGTTCTTACACTATCGTCTGAAATCTCTCCACTGGCTGCTGTCATGGAAAGGGAACTGGTCTAGACACACCTTAGCTCTGATCCAGATTAGCAGTTCCTAGTTTCTGCATCCATTTCCCCATTCATGCAAATACATATCAACATCCACCTACATGGACCCCTGCAACTGAAATCTATTTGGGGAGCACTGAATGGGCTTCTTTGCTTTGCAGCGAGTGCAATTGCTGACTCTGCGGTGCGCATCCAAATGGCAAAATGGGAAGATCTGTGGGTCCCAAGTTTCAAGGACTTGAAGGAAAGGAAACTCTCAAGAGACAGCCACACAGGTGAGGAATAAGTTAAACCAACTGAAAAAGACATCTTCTCAAGTATAGAGCTGGCATAGCATTCCAGCAGAGCCACTGCAGTCTCTCTCAGTTCTGTCTCATTTCACCGGATTCATAGACCCTAAGGTTAGAAGGGGTTAAAAATGAAATAAATAAATCCAGACAAAGAAGGGAAATGACACCAGCTGTAAAAAAGTAAAACAACAAAAGGAAAATGGGTAAATTGATGGCAACGAGTCAATTTCCAGATAGGAAATGCAGATAAGAGAAATTAAAGGGTTCAGTGGAAAAAATCTATAGCCAAGAGAATAGAAAAATGTGTCTGTAAAGGAACAAAATTCCACAAACAACATAGATCTGATAATAAAGAATCAGGATACAGAAAAGGCAGCCATATTCAATAAATATTTCTGTTCCGTATTTAGAAAGGAATACAAGGAGACATTTGCTTCTTACAGTGACAATGTTCTATCAGCTTCAGAGGGGTAGCAGAGTTAGTCTGTAACTGGAAAAACAAGTAGCCTTGCAGCACCTTAGAGACTTAACAAAACATGTCAATGGTAACACGGGCACAACCCACTTCTTCAAATAAATGGAGTCGTTAAAGGTCCGGTTTCTAAATAAAAAAGGGATGGGGGAAGGGGAGAGAGAAGAAATAGTTAAAAGTGTGTCCATGCCACATCAGCTTCATGTGGCATGGACACTAGCTATTTCTTCCCCCTTTTTCTGTTCGTGCCCCCTCTCCCTATCTCCTATTTATTTAGAAACTGGACCTTCGATAACTCCATTCATCTGAGGAAGTGGGTTGTGCCCATGAAAGCTCACAGTACCATCAATATGTTTTGTTAATATTCTAGCAGTAACTAGGGAAGATATTGAACAGCAGCTGACAGACATGTTCACACCAGCAGGACCAACACTTTGTAATTCAGATAATTCAGTGACAAACTCGGTGATCTATTAATATTGACTGGAAAAAAGCGTATCTATTTTAGAGTACCTCTGTCTGAGTCCGTTTGTTCAAGAACTTAACAGTAAGAGAGAGGGGCACCAAATTTGGTATGCAGCTTTGAAGCAAGATCAGGCTTTGGTTGTGTCAGGACAATCAGAAGCCCCATGAAAGGGACTGTTTTCCGTAACATGTAAAGGGTGGGGCTGCTGTTCGGCAGGACACCCGACTGAGAGGGGCAATGGGAGCAGCAAGCCCACAGGGGAGAGCTATCCTGCAGTGTGTCCACTGGGGGAGTGTCCGCCATCTTGCCTGCCAGCACACTGGGTAAATAGCCACCCTGCCCGAAACCCTTTCCCCCCTCCTGGCCCTTGGCTGCAGTGCCAGGACAGGGGGAGAAAATAGAGGAGAAAATGCCCCAGCAGCCATGGATGGGGGCTGCGAGAGAAGAGAAAATGCCCCGGCAGCCACAGGGGGGTGACCAGAGGAGGGAAATGGCCCCTGGCAGCTGTGGAGGGAGAGGTGGGGGTAGAGATGCATGTTTCATATGGGACCCCCATCCAGAGTCCCTCCTCAACCCCCAACACCCACTCTTGCAACACTTCCCCCAGCATCCTGCACTGTCCCCCATCCCCGAGGCCCTGTCCTGACTCCTGCACCTCCCAGACCACCAGCCCCCTCCCCTGAAGGCTCCGGGGTAGGTCTGCTCATATAACAATATTTTCAAAGAACAGGATGACTTGGGTAAAATACGGTGGCTTTTAATATAGCTAAATGTAAGTGGACAGCTCGGAACGAAGACTGTAAAGCCACATTTACAGCATAGGGCACTCCCCCCCCAGGGAGCAGAGACTCCAGAGCAGATGATAATCAGCTGAACACACGCTCCCACTGCAATGCTGTGACTAAATGGGCCAACGTGATCTTGGGATGCACACACCAGGACATCTTGAGCAGCTGTCGGGAAGCTATTTTATCTGGGTATTTGGCGCAGGCGGGACCGAGGTTTGTTCCAGTGCCCACAGGTCAGGAAGCCTGTTAACTAGGAGAAAGTCTAGAGAAGAGCCAGAAGAATGAGCAAACCCGCCTCTCAGCGACACAATCGACCAAGAGCGCCTAGCACTGTGGCGTAGCCAAGAGGGTGAAGACAATCCTGGTATTGGGGGAATATCAGTGAGGGATAGGCAGGGTTTCCTGCCCGTGTGCGTGGCAGTGCTGAGACCATTCCTGGGTCTCCTGGAGCGGCAGCCACACTTCAGAGCGGATGTTGAAAAATTAGAAAAGGTTCAGTAACGAGCTACGTTCCCTCTGAGCTTTGCGGTGGCGCAGCAGCCTATTAAGCACCACAAAGGCACTCCAGCCACAGTGGGGATTGGTGCCTCTCTCTGCTGGGCCCAGCACAGCCCCAGACCTGCCGTAGCTAGGGGAGAGGCGATCGTGGGTAAAACCACTTGGTTGCGTACATGCATCTGACCATGTCTTTCACTCATGAAAGCTTATGCCCAAATAAATCTGTTGGTCTTCAAGGCAGGGGTGGAAAATCTTTTGGGTCGGAGGCCACTGATCCACAGAAAAATCTGTCGGGCTGCATACAAGTGAGGGAAAAAAACCACTCCTCGCCATCATGGGCTCAAAAACCAGAAGAACCCTCATATGGATGTAGCCTCCCCTGAGAAGCAGAAAAAAAAAACCCCTCTTCTCATTCCCTTCACACACCAGCTGCAGAGCCCTAGGGCGGCTGGGCTAGTAGATTTTGTGCACCCCAGGCTCTGAGGTAGGGCCCAAAATATGGGGTTCTGCTGGGAAGCGGGCATGGGATAGGGTCTGGGAGGGAAGATGCAGGAGTGAGCTGGGGACTAGGGGCATCGGGGCAGGAAGGGGGTGCCTGATCAGGCTGGGGGTGCCTGGCTAGTATGATCAGAGCTCCCACTTAATAGTTTGAAATAAGAGAGATTGACTAATTTTTAAGACTGTTGCTTGCTACTCTCAGGGACTAGTTGGGGGAAATGATTCAGCTCTGCGTTCTGGCAACAGCCTGGATGGGAGATGTGCAGGAGCGGGCTTGGGCATAGGGTCTAGGCAGGAGAGGGTGCAGGAGCAGGTTGGGAGGGGTCTGGCCAAGGGGGGAGCTTACCAGGTGCAGTTCCGCGGGGACACTCAGGGCCCCTTGTCCCCTGCTGCTCCCAGGCACAACCCCCCTGCTACTCTTATTGGCAGCAATTCCAGCCAATAGGGATCCAGGAATGCTGGGGGCCAGATCTGGTCTGCTGGCCTTATGTTGCCCACTCTTGCTTGAAGGTGCCACGGGGGACTCCTACTTCGTTACTATAATTAGCAGCTGTCATGCCCTCAGGGCAGACTGCTGCATTCCACCAACCTGCCCGATTCCTGCTAGGAGTCTGACTCCTCTCCCATCGCCTCCAGTCTCTGGGCTCTCAGACGAGCAGGCAGCTGAAGGCAGCCCTTCTCCCCTTCCCTCCACTGGGAAGGACCCTGATCAGCATGGGTTTATTTCCTTTTCCCTGGGTTGGTTTTTCCTGAGGGCAGTCGGTTACTCTCATTCTCTCCTAGCAGATGACGAGATTGCCAGCGAGAGTGAGGACGACGACCACAGTCCTCAGCCGGAAGAGCCCGAGAAAGTGGAGCCTCACGAGGCATCAAGAAAATCCAAATCAGCCATTTCCCAGAGTCAGCAGAGCTCGGAAAAGCAGCCGCCAAAGCCGGCGGGGAAGAGACGGGGCAAGTCGGCTCCCCCGGAGAGCGCTGCAGGAAAGCAGCAGAGAATCCGCAAAGGGGAGGTGCCCAACGCGTGTCTGGAGTGTGGGAAGGTCTTCGGCCGGAAGTCCCATCTCGTGAGACACCAGAGAACTCACCGGCGCGAGAAGCCAACCATTTGCAACGAGTGCGGGAAGAGCTTCAGCCGCAGCTCGACCCTCGTGGAGCACCAGCGAACCCACACGGGCGAGAAGCCCTACCGGTGCACCGAGTGCGGGAAGCACTTCAGCCAGAGTTCCCACCTCATCACGCACCAGCGGATCCACACGGGCGAGAAGCCCTACCAGTGCAGTGTGTGCGGGAAGCGCTTCCACCAGAACTCCCATCTCCTGACCCACCAGCGGACCCACACGGGGGAGAAGCCCTACCAGTGTACGCAGTGCTGGGAACGCTTCAGCCGCAGCTACACCCTGACCAGGCACCAGCGGAGCCACACGGGGGAGCGGCCCTACCCCTGCCCCGACTGTGGCAAATGCTTCAGCCTCAACTCCACCCTCCTCAGCCATCAGCGAACCCACACGGGCGAGAAGCCCTACAAATGCACCAAGTGTGGGAAGAGCTTCACGCGGAGCTCCACGCTCGTCCAGCACCAGAGAACGCACATAGGGGACAAGATCTATACCTGCCCCTGCTGCAACAAGGTGGCCTGCTCCAGCCTCCTCTTCTGAGCTGGGGGCCGGGCTCATTCCAGCTGGCCCTGAGCTTGGGCACGGGACCAATCCAGACAGCCGACAGATTCCCCTTTTCCTGTCTGAGTGGATCCTAAAGAGCAAGGACTGCCAAGGCCATTGGAGAGGCCTTTCCTATAGGAACTGCAGTGGGCTCAGCTTCTCAACAGGGGAAAACCTCACTCGTCGTTTTACCTTGGGTTCTAATTCAGACTCTCTTTTGTGCGCACATGCTGGGGAAACATCATGCCTCCCTTCCATCTCCTGCTGATTGGTGCTGCTCATTAAAGGACACACTACAGAATAGGTTTGAGAGGGGGAAGTGTAATCCTCCATTTTCAAAAAAAGGGAAAGGAAGTGAAATCAGACAAGCGGTGGTGTTCCCCAGCCAGAATCTCTCCCTTGCCCTGTAGTGCTGTCATGTTTCCCATACCTGGTTCCCTGTGAGAAGAAAAAAATCCCTGGGGAT